AAAAAAATTATAAAATAAATGGGCAGTATATTTCCACTACTTTTAAGTATGATTCATTTGTATCATATAAATATATTTTTCATCTATACTGCAAATGCATAAGAAAAACAAATGAATACAATATGCTTTTCAATTAACTTATAATTTCACTAATTAGAAGCCAGTACATACCACTGAAAGTAAATAGTTCTACATGTGCAGAAATTTTATTGAGTTTCTGGCTAATGCCTAATGTATATATGGATTTGCAGAGCCCCTGACTTAACCCTGGGGAACCTGTCAGTGCTGAGTCCAGTGAGGCCCAATTCCTTCTAAGACATCAATGATAACTCCTATCCTAAATATTACGAGATATAAATGCATGGGATAATTCTACTCTTTCCCATTGCTTTCTTCACACACCTCAACATCATCATGGTGAAGCTTTTAAATTAATATAAATTTAATATAAAATAATGCAACCTGGTTATGTGAAAAAATAAACTTTAATTAGAGGGTATATTTGAACATATCACATAGATATGAAATTTTAACAGAAAAGTCTAGTCTTTCAGAAAAAAATGTAATGGACATTACAGGAACACCCATCAGTGTGAGACACTGTCAACACGGTTGCCAAGAATGTCACCAGACATGAGTTATCAAGCAAAGCAAGCCATACTTTAATTGCAAAGAATAAAACACAATTTATTTTAAAAATCAAGAGGAAAACTTCCAAAATCACTTTCTACAATTATAGCCTAAAGTGGGGTTTGACTAAAGAAAGTATTCAAAATGAAATTTTTTTTGTATAGTTCCATTTTCTACAGCATTTAAAATACACGTCTATTTTCAACAATATGTTCTCCTCCCCAAATTTGAGGATTACATTAGTGATACAAAATAAAATGTTCATTCTTTGGAAATGCCTTACATATTCCTTGTATCATTTTAAAGAGTCAAAGTAATACAGGAAGGAAAAGATTTCACTTTAAAAATAATAATAGTAACAAGTGAATGGGGATTCTTTAATTTGTATCTACTTAACCAAGGGAGTGGGACAAGCTTTGTCTTCTTTAGAAAAACCTTAGCTCACAGCAAATCATTCAGATGGGAAATTCACTACATACCTTGGGTGCTTCAAGTATTAAAGATGAATTCATATCAAGAATTGTTCCTGGAGGTTCAGTCTTGTCTTCATTACTGTTTGAATGTAAAATGTAACAACTTTCTTCTTTCTCATCTTCCTGAAAATATAAACCACTTTCATGAATTTAGCTTCAAACTTTCTTCAGATTAATTCTCATA